ACTTGCTTCTCTTGGGTCTCAAAGCTGGGTGGGGGCTGTGTAATAAGCCGAGCCTCCACATTAGACTCTATGTATAAACGTACTCTTAAGCAGTACGCAAATTATAAACGTACTCTTAATAGTACGAGGAACTTAAGTCTCCTAAATGTACTCTTAATAGTACGAGGAACTTAAATCTCCTAAATGTGCTCTTAATAGCACGAGGAACTTCAGTTTCCTAAAATGGTTTTAATGGTTTTATTAATTAAACCTTTTCCATTTAAAATATCAGATATTTGGATGAGGCCATTAAAAGGCCTCAGTAAAAAACCAAACATAAAAGAGTTGGTCTAGTTCTATTAATAGAGCTTTATTTACTTTCCAATTTTATTTATATCTGAATACTTCGGTAGCGAGATGGCTCAACCGAATATAGGTTTCTAGGGACTATTAACGTTACCTAGTTGATCCTCCGAAAAGCCAACCAGATGTGCCAGTCTGATGAAGGCTAAGTCGGTAATTATTGATAGTGGCAAGTTATTGGTTAAGACAATAACTAAGGACGTCAAGAGTATTTATTATTTATTTTTTCTTAATGTTAATTACTATGCCCTTGATTTTAAGATTGGAACATGAACCGCTGGAGAAGCACTGATGAACCAACTACGATTAAATTTATCTACAAGATTATCCGGAGATGAATGTGCGATTCTGAACTGGTGCACCTGAAAACTAATAATCGGTTCGAGCGCAGCGAAAAGACCATCTAGAATTGACGCAGAATCATCGAGTACATTTTGTTTTTCAAATACGCAAGAATTCACAAGCTACCATTGAGCTAAAATTTATAAATTGCGCATCGGGACAATGCGATGCTTAAAGGGGCCACATACAACAGCGCCCTGTGTGTTACAAATGATCACTAAAATTTTAATGTTCATTATTCCCTCGCTTTTTCCCTCGTTACGTTAATTCTTATGCCCACGAACTTAAGATTGGAATATGAGCAACTGGTGAACCGCAGGTGGGCCGACTATGGATAAATCGATCTGCAAGATTACTCGGGGAAGAATGTGCGATTTAGAACTTGAGCACCTCAAAATCAATAAGTGTTTCGAGCGCAGTAAAAAGGACGTTGTGAATTGACAGAAAATCATCGATTTTTCTACAAACACGCAAGAATTCACAAAAACACTATTGAGCTATATTGCGCATCGGGACATGGCGCTACTCAATTGGGCCACATGCAGCTGCGCCGTGTGTATCACAAGCCAACATTGAAAGTTCAACAATTTAAGATTTTCTTGTATTTTACTTGTTGGACTCCGCACCTTTCTACTGGCGTTTATGAGACAGAATATTCGAGATTTTATCGCTATCATATATATCAGCATTCACTGCGAGCCCCAATAACTAATATCAGCGTAGCTTCATTCTGCTACCATAATAAATTTAAGTAATCAGAATCACAATTTTTCTCTTGTGAATATTCTATTGTTCGAAAAAACTGTATACAGGCTAGTTAAAATATATACGAGTTTTTGTTAAATCAAATACATATTTTCTCTGGCTTGTGTATACCTACAGGTATATGCATCAATCAATTTGAAGCCCTCATACTGTTAAGCATGTTGTTCAACAGGGCAGCCGTAAGGACACACGCAATGCTATAATCCTTGTTAAGATTTGTTCGAGATCGATCACGGATTGTATCCCGGCAACTGGAGCCTCCGTGAATCAATGATAGCTGTTACCTTCATTAGCGGTGTATGGTTGTTTTATGCAATTGTCTTTCGTTTACATACCGGTATGACTTGAGCCTGTCAAAAACGCTTGTTTGGCTTGTTCCCACATGATTAGGGCACCAGACACGTGTACATTTAAGCTCCGTGTGAGTCCAAACTGTGGGATCTCTATACAAACATCAAGCAGGTGAAGATATGCCGGCGGAATGCCGAAGCCCTCGCTGCCAAGTAACACGACAGCTTTGCGCGGAAATACATACTCCTCCAGTGATACACTCTCTGTGAATGTAGTAGAATTATGTAGCAACAAAGTCAGCTTGCTAGTGAGAATATCAAGGGCCTGTATACTAACCAATTGAGTTTACCGCGCGTGGGCATATCAGGAGTACAGGCTGATTCGGCAACTACACTAGCATGAAGTCAATATCGTCGTCACAATATACAAGTTATATCCCTTCAAGCTGTCATTCAGTGCAAAAAGATAAATCTCTTTTTCAAATTCCGGCCGAAGGTCATGTCTAAAATAAGAATATGAAAGAATAGCCGTGCGAGAAATGTAGATACGTATATAATTTTGATGTTATGATGATCTTTGCGAGTGCGAGTTCGAGAGAGCACAACATCGCCGGAAAACAAAACACAGGCATCAATAGTCCCACCATGCCGATTTGTATAGCGAAGAGTAGTTCTATCCATATCGATACTTTGCGATCAGGATATACTCGAATACTCCAGCGGAATAGAAATCTTTCGTACTCCTACTTTTCAGAAGACCTTGACTAGTCTATAGTATGATCATTCATATCAGGGGACACGACTGACAGTTCTACAAGGCCTGCATACAAAAAGACCCAAAAGGCCTGCATACAAAAAGACCCAAAAGCATTCTAAATACAGAGTCAACAGCAAGTCCTGGTCACAATAGCATCGAGAATTGCGAACAACACAGAGACCGTAATCAAAATTATGACAGTTGACCGCGTGTGCCGAAAGTACAATATACAGAGATGAAGTTGAAAATGCACAGGAGAGAAGTGGGCCAAGCCGGCTTACCCGCAGTTTGTTCCAAGCCTATGAGTGTGTAATCTTTCAGTCTCATGCCTTCGAGGTATTTGTACAGGTGCTCGACCGGGACCTGCATCAGTGCAACAGTGGCAGTGGGAATCAGTGGAATGTATTCACAGCGGAGTTGGCAGTCATAGGCAAATGAATTTGACGAGATCATGTTAAGGTTATGCAAAAAAAAACGAACACGTTATAGTATCACTTGCGATGGATGCCAGAGTGTACACGAACTTGTACAAATTGGAAGGAGGGTGGGCGGGTGCTATATAAGCAGATGAGTACTATACTGTACAGTGAAATAAACGTTTGGATAGGTAGGTATGCTAAACCTGGTGAGAAAATTCAAAAGGTAGACAAACACATGGAGACTTCGTTCATCCACAGCAATGTACATACCATAGACGAATGCTAGTGTATTGCCGAGTACATACAGAGTCGGATAGACAAAACAATCAGCTACTAGTACAACATACAACGCACATGTCAGTATTGAATCCAGCCCACCCGTGCAGCTGACTCTAACGACTCTGGGTGATACATACCTCATTAATGCTCAGCAATTGGTCCGCAGCCACCGCAAGATTCTTGAACTCGCTCTTGGCCATTAGTGCCTTGGAAGCGATGACCATCTCTGTCATGCGAAAGATCTCACTGGTGCGTGCGAGTCCGCCCAGATTCGGTGCTTTGCATACCAGGCTTGCGCACAAGACCATGGAGCGTTCATTGGTATCCATCGTTGGTATCGAGCTTTTGTCTGGATGTATGTGTACGTATGTAAATATTCAATGTCAGATTGACGCCAGATATGTATGCACCTACGGCTCTTGTAGGTTTCTTTAGAATATGACATTCCGTAAATTTAACCACACACAGACAAAGGGGGGTTTACCCGTTCAAGCAGGCATGCATGAGCGATTAGCACCATAAATTCTAAACCCTAAAATCCTCTTGATAATGAGTTTAAATCCGTGCGCCATGTTTGCACAAGGTGTAGTCCTCGACAATCGCTATATGATCAATGGACCGGCGTTTATGATGGGAACGGACAGATTTTAGGGTTTTCCAACAACATTCGGGCGCAACAGTCACGAAGAAGGCGGCTGTAGGAGCTACACATGCGTACAGGTCAAACATGCACCGATATGCACAGTTGATGATCCGGTTTTCGAGGAATGGCTCGAGAGATTCATATAGCTATTAGGGGACTGAAAAGCTAGCAGGACGGCTCCATCATCTGTTAACGTCCAGGGTTTGTATAGTAACACGATGCTCACAGACACATCTACACGTACACTACCTTCAAATGTGAAAGTATATATATATATATATGATCACACAACTGCAAAGACACGCACAAGTACAGACCAAAAAGCACAAAATAAAAATACACAATCGCAAATACAAACGTTAGTGCTATTGCCATGGAATATATGCATGAACGGGCACTACTACACAGCCATGCAATGTGTGAGGTTATGTTCTGCGCGTATCATCGAATCCGACCGCATGTTCATATACCCTCGGTGTCCCAGATATCGCTGCTCACGAAGGCCTGTACATCCGTGTGGGGCGAGAACAGCGTAGTTTCCCACGGCGTGATTTTAGTCTGTCGGTTCGACATGTCCGTAGTATCAGCACCATCCACGCTGCCACGCCCGCTTTCACCGGCATAGACACCGATGTTCGGGGTGTCGGAGTTTTTGGTGGCATTAGCCGGACCAGTTGCAGGGGGTTCTGTTGCCTTTTGCAGTGTCATATAGTGTGGCGAAGCAGTGCTTTCGGAGAGGTTGGTATCAGATACTCTGGTTGCGAGGTCTGCGTCTGTGTCCGTGTCTGTGCCCGTGTCTGTGGCTGTGATTGCGGGGGGAAGTGAGGGCAGTGCTAGAGGGTGTGCATAGTCATGGCAACCGTACATCTCGATGGCTGTCTCGGGGATGGACTCGTCGATCGTATCTACCAGCTGCGTAGTACAAACAGTTCATATTTAGGAGAATACCAGTAATAGTGAATAAGAATATGTAGAGAGCAATGAGCGAATCGGCTTGTGTATGTGATATCAGACAATAAACCAGTTCCTCGGGTACACAACGACAATAGGACTTTTGTTGTTGCAAACTTGCACCCATTGACCGGACATACAGACAGGAGAGTTCACTCAGACAGGCGGCAAAAACTGCATAATTTTCTAGTTTCTGCACTAAAAGTGCTACTTCGACATGCACTCAATATACAATGGCAGCGGTTGGAACACTACAACGTACGTGTACGGATACGATAGCTACGGCTGGCATGAGCGTTTCTCAAACAGAGAACAACACTGTAATCCCACATTGCACACGGCGCTTCACCAACGACCTTCAAGTAATGAAACAATGCGGCAAATACATTGGAAGGAAGCTTATGATGTGCCGAGCCAGCTACCAACAATTGGTCGGACCAGCCATGCCAGATATGGTATACGTAAACTGCTTTTGGATTATATACAGGTCACTTATAGATTATATACCCCACTCACATATAATTACACGCCCAAAACGTAAACGTCAAAGACTTGCTGCTTGCACATATTGCAATACCTGATAAAATCGGTTGAACACAAATCCGAAGGTGATATCGCGGAGCACATCGATCTCAGTCAGCCGGTGCGTTTGTTTCAAAGCGTGCTCAGTCCTCTTCCTGTGTACATACACCCACATATATATGTGTATATAAGAATGTATGTAAGCGCTTGCGCGTGTTCACGAGGGTGTGTAGTGTGTGCCCGTATATAAATACACGCATGCGCGTACTTGTGTATGTACGCTGTTAACTGTGCCGACGAGCATGTGTATGTGTGTGCGTGTGTGTGTGTGCGTATGTGTGCGTACAAGATGGTCTGGCTTTCCTTGAATGGTTCCTAAACTGGCATCTGAAGAGCATGCAGTGCAACTGCGCCCGCAACACCCACGACAGCACTAATTCTCAACTACAGACACTATAGCATGAAAACATACACACACACACAGCACACAAACAAACACACACCCGCAGCAGCATGCACACTCCCACCAACCCCTATACAGGCCCCACATCCCTCGTACGCACATCATACACAATACTAAACAATACAAGGCCAACCATATCATACCAGAGCACAGCATAGCACAGCATAGCATAGCATAGCATAGCATAGCATAGCATAGCATAGCGTAGCATATCATAGCATAGCATAGCACAGCATAGCGTAGCATAGCGTAGCATAGCATTCCATAGTATAGCATAGCATAGCATAGCATAGCATAGCATAGCGTAGCATAGCATAGCATAGCATAGCATAGCATATCATATCATATCATATCATATCATAGCATAGCATTCGATAGCATAGCATAGCATAGCATAGCACAGCATAGCATAGCATTCCATAGCATAGTATAGCATAGCATAAGCATAGCATAGCATAGCATAGCATAGCATAGCATAGCATAGCATAGCATTCCATAGCATAGCATAGCATAGCATAGCATAGCGTAGCATAGCATAGCATAGCATTCCATGGCATAGCATAGTATAGCATAGCATAGCATAGCTTAGCATAGCATAGCATAGTTTACCACACCACAGGATAGGATAGGATAGGATAGGATAGGATAGGTTAGGAAAGGATAGGATAGGATAGGATAGGATAGGATAGGATAGGTTAGGAAAGGATAGGATATGATAGGATAGCATAGAACATAGCATACACATACCTGGCTTCCGGTGCCTCCCTGCTCAACATGCCGTGCAATTGTGTTTGTAGCGTTTCGTCCACCCCACACCACTCAACCATGCCCGCCTCATGCATCTGTGTTACGTAGTACAGTGCTATATCCGAGGCTCCCTTCTTGCCGTGTGTAACGGCCAGTAGCAGCAACGCGCACACCACTGCCTTGCAATACGCGACCATATCCGTCTCTTTCACGTCCGGAGATACATCCGACTGGTTAATACTACTACCTGGCCATGCGGAGGAGCTGGTATCAGCTTCAGGACGTACCTCAGAAGAGGATGTATACCTACTTCGACCCACGGGATGTCCCCGAAGTTCGGTGAAGGCCAGGGCGCTTCGGCCGAGCACGGCCACAGCAGAGCGTACCGAACTGCGAGTCATTGCCACAGTCAACGGCCCAGTGGTGTGAGCGAGCAGCTGTATGGTGAGGGTGGGTTGCATGCACACGCAGACCACTGTGATCCACTCCAGCAACACTCGCTCAGCTGTGGGTAGGTACGGGCCAACATACAACTCATTATCTTGATACAAAGAACTGTACATAGATATACATAGATACAGCTATGGAAGTTGTCGGTGTAGGTGGGGGTGGAATTGTGGACTCAGTATTGACAGACGACACTAATGTATTTGTATAGATGTAGCTATGGAAACGGCTTCAACGATGTGCGGGAGCGGAGGTACGATGAGGGTGGGCTGCATGCACACGACCCGTACACTATCACTATACACTCTAGCAGTACTCGCACAGACACACGTATAGGTACAGACTCCGGGGGTAGATATACAGATAACAAGCAAATATAAATGCATAGAAGAAAGTATGCAGAATGTTTCATTGGCCTGGGTGAGTAGAGGTGTGGCGAGGGTGGCCTGAATGCACAAACAGAACACCGATGCGCCCTCTAGTGGCACTCGCAGAGCTGCAATCAAAGTTGTATATGAACTCAGTGTTAAATGTTTAAATCCATTGTAAAGGTGTACAGTGGTGAATATACTGAGATATGATATGTACATTGCACATAATCAAAAGCACACACACATACACACACACACACACACATACAT